AGTAATGTTAGTAATGTTTTTCAGTCTGTGATGTTAGGTGCACCCGGCCGACACGCGAGTTAGTGGTACACGTTGCGTACCACTAACATACGTTTACACACATATTACGTTGGCGTCGTGCAGGTACACATATACGAGTATATATAATGTTCGGATACTTAGCCCGAGCAATGTGTTTGAATAGTTTGAAACATATAAAAAAGTGGTCGTCCCTTAACCATCATTTTTGGCAACAATAAAATGTTCTGCGAATTATTAAATACTAATAAAAAAGGCTTTTGCTAAGTAGATATTCAGTCAATAAAATTAATCGTTATATTCTCTACAACTTCCCTGTGGTAGGACCACGCAATAGTAATCGCTGTTGCACAAATGGGCAGAGAGTTTTGACCAGTGAGTGGGGTAACCGGGGCTGACTTCATTAAAAGTTGGCAACGCATTTGCAACCCTCGGGCCGCCTGTTGCAAATGTCCATGCGCGGCGGTTGTCACTTAGCATCAGATGGACCGGCAGCTAGCTAACCACCTTTTCACATAAAAAACAAGATAAACCATAACCATAATATATGGTTCCATTTACACTCCAATTTGAAATAATGTAATAAAAATATAAAGCGAAGAAATTGAGAAAGAAAACTTGTTGTACATACATTTTTCGAGTTACGAGTAAGTATATCATTTTCTTAAGTTATGGTTTCCTCGACACCACTGCGAACGTAAAACATTCACTGATAAACCTTTCTAACCTTTCTAAAATTACTCGAGAAACTGTAAACCTTTGCCAAATTGGCACTCTTTGCCAAGATCGTCTCGATATCGACATTACTTACTACGTGGCACGGTTCCAAAAGAATACCCTATCACATTTTTAGTTACATGTATCACGTTAATTAGTTTGATTATTTTATACACGTAGTTCAAGACTTGAAATTTTTGCTCACGTTTATATATTTTTTATTTATGTGAAATACTGTGAAGCCGGGGCTCACCTGATGTTAAGTAAATACCGCCATCCATTGACATCTACAAGACTTGGCTTGCAGATGCGTAAGTATGTTGCTCTTTAGTATCTTTTTAAAATAATCTAGTATCCACGGCAATATTTTTACTGTCATTTTATGTTAAATTTTTAGTGCCGGTCTATTGTAAGCTCCTGGCACTTTTCGGACGAACCAACCCATGCAACAGCCGAACCTACTGTATGATGCAAAATTTTAGCATATTTTATGATATTGTTGGCAGAATACTATGTTATCGTTATAAGTAAAATCATTCAGACTGTTTCTGTCAGAACATTTTTAAGGTATCTTGTATTAACTGATGTTTTTGCTTTCAGTCCCGAGACTATTAAAGCTTCATCTAACTCAGAACTGGCAGGCTAGCCGGTATTTTTAAGGTACTATGGTTTTCTACGAAGACTGTCAAGCTACAATGGATATGTAGATACACCAGGTGCACTTATGCAAATAAAAACAACTTAAATTGTTTATAGTGCTAATCTCTGCACTTAAGATTGAACATTAAAATATGTAGAAAATGCGAAAAGATTGTCGCCGCTGTGGGAATCGAACCCACGTCTTCGGCATTCGCGGCCTGACGTTTTAGCCACTAAGCAAAACGGTTGATTGCCACACCGACGAAAATGTTAACGCAATCTTACGTCTTATAATTATGACTCATGACATTTTGATTCCAACTTAAGAGATCTTCGTTTTTCACCATTTAGCATTGTAGAAGAATATGTTCATTGGGCGTTAAAAATGTATTAATTTGTAACATATCTTGAGTTCGTTTATACGTGTGGCGACTTCCTCCAGTGAACGAAAACAATTACGAATGTCAAGTGTGTGAATTCAATTAATCTATTAGTTTCCATTTTTTTATACCAAAAATGTATTGACAAGGTAACGAATGACCACGAAAAAAGATATATTTACCAACATCCTCCCTTAACTTACAGTAACACCAGTTTTTATTTATGTGAAAAGTTGCCAAGCCAGCAGACGGTTCACCTGATGTTAAATGAATACCGCCGCCCATGGACATCTGCCACACACAAGGGTTCCAGATGCGTTGACAACCTTTTGATAATTGGGCTCCGGCCACCTCACTCACCAAACGAAATGCGAAAGCATTATACTTCCACTTTACGCCGGTCTTCTTTGAGGTGGTACGTCGGGTACGTACCACTTGGGGGACGAGCCTGCCCATTCGTGCAACAGTGTAACCGTGTAACTAAAATTTAAAGTTGGTGTAACTCCTCGACTGGATGAGGTTGGATTTGACAAATCGAGGAATTCAACTAAATCTGAAATTTAAATACTTTTATACCTCAGAATCGTCGATACATTTGTACTACCTGTTCAAATATAACGTTTGCAACTTCAAGTGAATGGAAGTAGTAGTAAAAGATTTTTTACTCAAATACTTCGTTTTTCACCCTGGTAGACATAAAGCTGTCCTTATCATAGCCAGTTCCTGATTAAAATATCATATAAAGAAAACATTTTCCTGTCAATTTTGTATTATAATAAAAGATATTTTTTTCTGTCAATATCAAGACAAGCTCTTTATAATGTCACGCGACATATGAATAAAGATTACAACGAGTTTAAAAATGGTAACATTGATTTTCATTTTACAGTTTTATAACTCGGTTCGAAACATTTATGAGATCTCTGCAGCTTTACTTTACTGCAGCGGTGCGATTGCATCATTTGCGATATCAATCGGAAACTGTGTACGGAAACATTTTTCATTTCCGATAAAAGCTTTCATTCGAGACTAATAAAACTGTTATTGCGGGACAAAAACTCAGTGCATGAGGTGAAACCGTTACTGGTTAAAAAGTAATGTTACCGTTTCCTTAATAATAAAAAAATGATTGAGTCAAAATTACATAAATATAATAATGTTTTATGAATTATAAGAGTGTCAGTGACGATGATCATTCAATAAGAAGCGAACCATACCGAGGGGCTAGGAAGCCACATCCCATCCCAGTATGAAGATAATTTAGTGCCACATACGGCAAACTTGCAGGCAAGGAATGGCAGGTCCATACTTTCAAGGCTTCTGAGCGAAGAAAAGAGATATTCTCTCTGACATACATACAAAATCTGGCACAGGACGCAAAGGAGTTTTCCAATATAACTCGGTGCTCGTCGGTGCTGCCTTAGAATCTTAATTCTAACCTTGTGAAATCTCGTGATGCTGAAATCCACGGAGGACGTGGTAAGGGTTGCAGTAGTGTGCCTGTTAAGCAAGTCTCAAGCCGATCGAATGGTGATCAGAACCCCTCCCCCCCACCCTTATACATTGAGTAGACTGAGCAGTTGAGCCCTAAAAGTGAAGGGCTGTCAACGAGGAATCCTCCAGAACCATGTTACTGGTACTCTACTAGAGTAAGTTCGTTTTTATACCGCTACCATTATGTTGGGGTTATCTATAAATTCCGCGTTTTACAACTATTATTTTGCATTTATACTGATACAGAATAATTAAATCATTAACACGCCGTTAAAGAGCAGAATTTTCCGAATCAAGCAAATGTAATAATGAATGGAACTTTCAGTCATTGAAAGTAAACATGGGATTAGGTTTAAAACAAATCAAATTTTACTCCACTTATTTCCCTCGCTCGGTCCCGGAGGAAATCAATAGGCCAGTCAATCCGATACAACTTTTCATCCGATGCTGATATCTTTAAAAGACTTATTCAATATTGATTGATTGACAAATTTTGTAGAGAGAATCAATCATTTATCGTAAAACGTCTGTCTTCATCATCATCTATCGTTCTTGCTGGACGTTCACTGCTGAACAAAGGATAACGACGACACTATTATGTGTATCCACTGGTTGCCTGTAATTCTTACGCTATCGTCAAACTTTGTCTTACATGTACCGAGAAACTCATTTACTGTTAGTAATGAGTTTAAATTTTAAAAACAAATAAAACAATCCTATTTTTTTCTCAACGCTGCCAGGCGCTGAAACTGCGCCGTCGTGCCCCTTCCTATGCGTAATATTCCTACGCGTAAGTGGTTCGAAAATTGTTAATATTAACAAATTGTGCATTACCGTTCCATTCCTTTTCCTTACACTTACAATCACCCTTGTTGGAAAGGGAACTCGCGAACAACTATTAAATGTACGTGTTCTCATTGAAAAGTGTCGTAAGTTTAACAAGCCGTTAGTTTTTGCTTCGTTGATTACGCGAAAACTTTTGACTGCGTGCAATGGAAAGCAATGTTTAATGTGCTATTAGAAATGGGTGTTCCTCCACATCTTACTTTCCTGATACAGAATTTGTACCTTGATGGCTCTTGCTTTGTGAAGCTTGAAAACCAAAAATCCAAGTCATTCCATACAGAACGAGGCGTGCGTCAAGGTGCATATTATCACCAAAACTGTTTAACTTGTATGTCGAACACATTATGAGAAAAGCTTTGGAAGAATGGAAAGGCGGCATTACACAAGGCGGACACAAGATTACGAACTTGAGGTATGCAGATGACACTACCTTAGTTGCGTCAAGTGAAGTGGAGATGGCTATTCTTCTGAAGAAAATTGAAGAAAAAAGTGCCAAGCTCGGTCTTAAGATCAACCGTTCAAAAACCAAAGTAATTGTGGTAGATAGAGCAAATATACTCCCAATCAGCGACGCACTCGATGACTATCAAAAAGTCACTGAATTTGTGTACCTTGGGTCCTTGATTACACGTGAAGGCAGCTGTACGGAAGAAATCCGCCGTAGATCCGGTATGGCTAAGAGTGCTATGGCTAACCTCGAAAAAATATGGAGCTTTTTTGGTTCGAGCCTTAGTTTTCTCGATATTTTTGTACGGCGCGGAAACATGGTGCGTGACAAGTCGCGACAGCAGCAGAATCGATGCTTTTGAGATGTGGTGTTGGCGGAGAATGCTGCGGATACCATGGACTGCCATGAGAACAAACAATTCCATCCTTAAAGAACTGAACATCAATAAACGACTCTCACGCATATGTCAAGAACGTGCCCGCAGCTTCTTCGGTCACATTATGCGTTCTTCGCGACATGATCTGGAGAGGCTCATTATCTTGGATCAAATAGATGGCAAACGTGCTCGTGGCTCGTGGGGCGCCTACAAGATAGTCTGATGCTGTAAAGGGGCAGTGGGCGGTAGCATGTATCGGGCTGTCCATGAGTCGCATGATCCTCAGCATCCTCAGCATTGAGGGAACGAGGAAGAAGGAGAGACAATCACCCTTATTATAGTTATCGAAGTAAGTTTTTATAGTTGCAACGAATTGTAATTTTAATGTAATGTTTCACCAAAGATAACTTGCTAAAGCAATATGATAAAATAGGTGGCATTGATAAGCTCATAACCAACTAAGCAACCGCCATACAAATCGATACCATATTGTCTATTATTGTACCGTAAATACAGCTTACCAACTTTACAAAGTGTATTGTAGTGCTCGTATTTGTTTCGCTCGGTCCCGAAGGAAATCAATGCGCGGGACAATCGAGTTCCGCCTCTGAAGCTGACAACTGTAAGAGTTTCATTCTATGTCAGTCCCACTCACAGACCATGCTTTGTGGCGACGAATGGTAAACTGACTAGTAAATTCACACTAGTATCCCATGTCCTTTCCCATTTTTATGATGTAGTGTTCATAAAATTTTAAATGTGGATCGTTTACAGATAGACAAGGTCGTATATTACTTACGTTGGGAATTGAAAATCAAAATTAAAACGCGATAGAACCCGAAAACTATTCGCATAAAATTAAGAAATCCATAATTAAATAGTGTTGTCATCGGCGTACCCGTAGATCTAATGGTGAAAAACCAATAATCGCTTTCAGGAAAGGGGGCCCTTTCTATTTTGAAATCTGATGTGGCAACACTAAAGGAAGTAAGTTGTTGTAAGTTGAGGGTGTTGGCAGCACTAAAATCAGTGACATTCTATGGGGTATAAATGAAGTTGCAAGAAACATTTCATGGTCTTCGTCGTCTTCGTTTGGAAATAGTCTCCAATGCTTCGTTTCCATCGTATACTTATATTTCTAGTGGTAGCACATAGAAAATATCGTTTCGCATAATCATTTTAATCACGCAATCTCTCTTAGCAACGCTACACGTATAGATTACAATCCGACAAGCATTCAAAGTAAGTTGAATATCAATTAGCGGGGCCCAAATTGAAACACTAAATTATTCTTTGAATATAATTCAAAGAAGTTTACTACCTACCTGAGATCCAGCCAGTTCGTAGCCCGATTCCTTTATTGAATTTACTAGTCTTTGTTCATTTACGATTATAAATGGAAGTCTACACACCACCTTGTGGGTAGACATACATTTATTTATTATTTGAAAAAGGGCACGAATACAGCTGTTATAAAACAGAGATGAACAAAATTAGACTCATAATTAATGTGTATGTGTGTGCATGTGGAGAGTGTATGTTTTGACTAGTGTTCAAAGATTTTAAGTTGTGACTAATGATTAAATAACAAACTTTTTAAAACTATTCTTATTTACGTTGAAGGGATCGACATTGGAATTTCGAATTAAAAAGTAAGTATAAAAATAACACCTCTAGTGATGCCAAGTACTAAACAGAATGAAAAATCAGGCTTTAAAAGGGTCACGCATTTCCATATTTCAATTTTCACGCACTTAGATATACTTGTATAATCAAACTTCTTTCATGATTATATTTGGGTAAAGATTTAATAGAAACTTTTTCCCATTATGAACTCTGCCTCCGTTTTAGATTGACGCTGCGATTTATTTTAATTGAATACAATTTAATATGCCAGATACAGTGTTTTACATTACTACAATCAATATTGCTTTTCTCCTTTATATGTTTTGATTGACGTTGTTAAGAAATGCCTATAAAAACTTGCGGAAACTTTGTGAAGCCTTGATGACGATGCCGTGGCCAAAAATTTAATCTTTAGTAGTCCTATATAAAGCTGCTAAGCCGTACCAAATTCTTACTTTGTTTCATGAAGACTATGCGGCTGATTAAAGAATGTCAACAGAGACATGCCTGAAACTTGTTTCAAACCAAGTGGAATATCTGACCGTTGTCAGACAGTTAAGATATTTTGTGACGTGTAATATACCTGCTACCACCTTCGTATTACGTTAAAGTTCCAGATAATTATATGATGTTGAGTAATGAATACGCTGACATCAGCTGAAAAGAGTAATTTTTTTAATTCAAATAGACTCCTACATGTCCTTATGAAACTTCGAATTTTACATAAAAATTAATACACAAGTTCGTTAGTAAGTTACCACTGGAAAACATTGGCGGTGTATCGGTTACGTTATAAATTATTGTATGCGACTGAATTCAACTCATCAGTTATTTTAGTGTAATCGGTGTCAATAGTAAAATATAGAACAAAAGTATGATGTTAAGGCTAGTTTTTGGCTGATACCACCGTCATTCTTGTCACCATAAAATCTTATCCTTTGTTCGAATAAAATAAAGTTAGTACTATAAAATAAATTCACTACATAATTCACTGGCTTGTTTGAAACAACAACGACGATAACAATTAGTTGACGCGATAAAACTGCGCGTGAACAGAACACCTTAAGTCTCCGTTTAATTGCTTCATTACTTCAACAATCTATAGTGGAACCTACTTTGGAAAGGTAACAAGGTCGAAATTGCGATTAAGTAACGAAACATCAATTGCAAAAGCGATTAATTGAGGATAACAATTAACAATGAACATTATGTTTACGCAAACACAGCATTTATAAAAATAACCAATTCACGACAACAAGGAATTATTTAAAGTTAAAAGCTGCATTGTTACGGACGTATAATCGTCTGTAAACTCGATGACAATGACTACATGATGTAAGAAACTAAATTGCAGGATGGTACACGAAGACAGTGATGTAGATTCAGTGATGAGACGCGATCTATAATCTTGTATTCGCGGGTGAATGCGTGTGACTGATAATGCATGTGGCACACTAGCTGAGATGCGAAAAAATAGTGTAGATAAAATACGTTGAGATTTTCGTCAGTGTGGCAATCAGCCGTTTAGCATAGTGATGAAAGCGTCCGGGCGCGATTCCAGAAGGTGTGTGCTCGATACTCGCAGCGGCGTAAACTTTTCGTCCATTCCCAACTAGTAACGACAATTATTTATTGACGCTTCTAATTTAGATTAAATATTAAATAAAGCTACCAAAATATTGTAACTATTATTAACTAACAATTGTGATTAGAGCTGACTATTCTTTATAAAATACTAGCGACCCGCGCCTTCGCACGGGTGCTATGTATTACATATAAACTTTCCTCTTGAAACACTCTACCTATTCAAAGAAACCGCATCAAGATCTGTTGCGTAGTTTTAAAGATCTAAGCATACATAGCGGGACATCAGACAGCGGGAGGACTTTTGTTTTATACTATGTAGTGATTTAATTAAAATTACGCGAGTGTTTTTGGAAAATAAGAACGTAAAGGTACTTGCAACTTATACCCATTGGCAATGACTTACATTATTTACTTTGAAAAAAATCTGGGCAAAATTATATTAAAAAAAAAATCTCCCTGACTTTCTTTCAGTGGTTCTTCTTAGGTCATGGCTTTTCTTCTCCGAGCCGGTGGTACTTGAATAAAGGTATTTGAATTTAAATTTATTCACAATAACCAAGTTATTTAATTTATATAATCTAATGTGAAAAAGGTGTATAAGCGTTTAAATTTAAATTCAAATAAACCTTCGCAAGTTACTGAAAATATAGCAAGACAATGTCGGTGATTGAGACCTTCATTTGCATGTTTATTTAATTTTCTGCACGTCGCTGTCTTAATTTTCCTTACACTGCGGAGATTACAATCACAGTTAATTTGCTTCTAGTGACGGCAGCTGTAAACGCAATAGATTATTTTAATCATTGCCTATTACCTTACTTTAGGCTAACATTATCTTGTGTTTTGAGGACGTTTCACAAACATAAATTTGGGACATTCAATCATCGGACAAACATCCAGATCCAAAACGATTATTTGTGGGCCACGGATATAGTTGTTCCGAATGGGAATCGAACCCACGACCCGCGGCGCCGAAGGCAATACCTGGGTAACTGCGCCAAGGAGGCACGTGAGACCGAATTCAAAAGAGGTGAAGGTTCTTAATTCGACTGTATTTTTGAAGTGAAACTTCTTTATCGGGGTTGGAAAAAAATTTAGTGTAACATTTTTGCATTACGCGCCATCTTGTTCTTAGTGGTTTTAATACTTGACGCTAGATGGCGTTAGTTCCTTTGTGTGTTCATAACAATATATATATATATATGTTATATTAAAGTGATCAGCAAAATCAATGGGTTTATTTTAATTCTAATATGTAAACAATATATTTCGTATTTCAGTTACCATAAGCCATTAATAACACAAATATATAATAACGACATCAATGATAGTAATAATTCTATTACAATTAATGAAATTCAATAATAATATTTGTAGTAATGACAGTGCTAGCTCTAATACTTCAGAGCACGACACTGTAGAGACTTCCTCTTCTCCAAAGGCAGGCACCGCCCACCGTGACCTGACTGCGCCTTCCACCGAAGAAGACACAATCTGAAGCTGACCGATGATGCTCTTCGAAGCCTCGATCGGCTCCTGGAACTTGCGGTTGCGACGTCGATCCAACGTCCGCAAGTTCGGTTTTCCAAAAAAAAACTTAACTCACAACACTCGCGCGCGAGGAGAATGTCTGCCTTCTACTCACTGGCTGACTATTCGGCAACGAAGGACCATGTACAAATTCAAAGCGGTTGTATTTTGGGTCCGTGAGGTTCATTGAAATACACAAGGTTCACGTTGCAAGTTTTTTAATCAACAATTTTTGCGGACCCTCATACTAATTACAACGGTCAAACTATAGTGTGTTTTAATTTACTACTAACGCCACCTATGTATTACAAATAAGAAACTAAATATTATACAAAGCTAAAATGAAATAATTGTAGAAAATTGGTATTTATGTCTATGATAATAAAAGCCTTTTATTAAACTTTTTCTAATTTAACTTTATTGAACCAATTTCTGTAAAGTTGCATATAGTAAATTATTTTTGGAAAAATAACGTCATAAAAAAGTTTTTTTTTGTTTGTTACCTCATAACTCATTGTTTCTACACGTTGTCGGTTTTTATCGGCGTTAATCTTC